CAGGTAGGCTGCTGGGCCGTGTGCTGCTACCGAGCACTCGGGAAGGCCAGCAGTGCGCATGAGAGGACGGTCACTGTGGTGACCACCACATGCAGGCCATTCCGTCTCGGCACCCACACGCGGTGTCCAATCACCACGCTGCAGGTCACACATCTTCTCTTTGCGCATCTCCTCTCGCGCTGCTCCACTTTGCAATTTCCCTCCCATCGTCTCTTTCTCCAAAGCTCTTAAAATAACATCGCTCATTTTAACAAACGTGTTGATAACTCTTATGTATTACAACTTTGACAGTTGCTGGCTGCTTGGCGTTTTTGGCCTTTGGGCACCATGCCCCAGAACTGAGTTTAAAAGAACCACAAACACGCGCACACAAACACGCGCACACAAACACGCGCACACAAACACGCGCACACAAACATGCGTGTGTAAGCAGCGTCAGGGTTTCAAGCTAGCAACTGCTGCCACAGCCGCACGCTAAAATTTTTTTCCTGGCACTCATTTATTTATTTACATCCCCACTGCTTGTTATTGTCAGTCGCTGCTCTTATCGAGGCAATTTGTGTTAATGTATGTGACTGCTCGCAGGAGGGAACGTGGCATTAGGTGCTTGCTCACAGGGCTTGTGCCCAGACTGGCATCTCCCCCACTCAAGGAGCGAGGTGTTTGTTATCGACCAGGATGGCACAGGCGTCGCGGTCAGGACGGAGACCACCGCCGTGCTGCGCTCCGAGCCACTTTATTTCATTTGTTGAGAGATTGGCCGAGTGAGCTCGTTGGCGAGGATGTCTGCCGCGTTTCCGTGTGGCCCCATGGACGTACAGAGTATGTTGCATGCCTCACTCACCCGTTTTTCCAATTTTCACGAGACTGCCTCATAACGGCCGTAATTGACGTTGTTATGAGAGCTGCATGAGCAGCCACGGTGAATCCGAAATCCCCGCTCTCATGCCCGAGTGGGGGACTCAGCTCGTTAAACCAGCTGCGTGGCCTTTCACGGTTGTGTTGCAAAACAAAACATGATTTCCTGCTCCAACAAGCAATTAGACGGTGCTCACCTGAGCCAGTGTGGTGGAAATGCCTGTGAGTGGGGTGTCTGTCCATACGACAAACTGCGATTGACTTCCACGTAAAGTGGGAGTTGTTTTATCGATCCCTGAGGAATGATGGGCCGAGTCAACCCCCAACCAGGATGTGAACTCACAGCTCTCCGATTGTGAGCCGCTCGCTACACTGCCGAGCCACCACCTGGCTCTACAGCTCTCCTGCTGGGGGCTCCAGCACGTGAGGCGAACGGACGGACATTCATGCCCAACGTCTCACGGTGCAAGACGAAATCCATCGGAGAGTTCAACGCAATCGGCTGTCAACGTTTGTCTCAGTTGGCGCCTCTTGTGAAGGGGGACAAAGCTCACGAGTGAATGCCAGCAGAAATTACGAAGAACCTTTGTTCATTTTCTCCAAGTTTCATTCTCGTGGTTTTTCTGTTCTTCCCAATTTTAATTGCCTCATGTTTTTCATGATTGCGAAAATCAAAGGCTTGCCGCAAATTAGCTCGCACTTGATATCAATATTTTAACACGAAGACCCTCGTGAAGGAGCATCACAGAGGTTCAAGACAGGTTTCTACCCGCAGCATAGCGAGAAAGAAGTGTCCATGATTAGTGTCAAAGCATTGCATTTGAGAGTCGTAATGGTAAACATTACCACTTTAATGACACCATATTTATATGTTTATTTAATTTATTCTCAAATAAATTCAAAATCGCCCCCCCCCCGGAATGTCAGGACGAGTGACGCCGCCGCTGAGGCGTGCAGACAGCAGTGCCGGGGCGGTGGGGCACGTCGCCGGTCCACCACCGCGTTTCCCGCCCGCCAGATCTCGGTTGCACAGAGCGCGGCTTGCTGGCTTGACCGTGGCTGGCACCGCCGGCTCCATCGGCCGCGGCTGCCAGCAGTGAATTCTGGGGAGCCGGAGTAAAAAATGGAGGAAACAAACGCGCAACGAACGTCCTCGCGCTTGTGCGCGTGTGTGTCCAACGAAATTGAACGCAAGAACGCACGTCAGTCGACGCGTCGTCGGTGATCGTTCGTCACGGAGATTTGGGTCGACGCGAGCGTGCGCTGGCCGGGTTTCATTGGCTCCCATTCACTTCGTCCACCGACAGAGCTACGTTGTCAGCAGAGGGCAGAGCAGCAAAGTCAAATGTTGCACCGTACATCTGTGCTCCATGCTGTTCACCCCTTGGCACATATCTACAATTATCACAGAGATTACATGAACATATGCAGACATATCATCGTCACCAACTATAATCAGTTCACTGCTGGATGAAGGCCTTCCCAAGCCTTTGTCCTTTCCCGTGATCCCACAATGTAATAATCCAGCAGTCGCGCAAGGACGAGGCAGATTTTCCTTCCACGTTATGGAATCATCGTCGGTGAGAACTTAGGCACTTCCACGTCTGGTATTAAGTTCTTCACTCGTAGAGAAGTTTCAATCTGAGTGCGGTGTGTGCAGCTGGGTGACTTTGCATGACATGCATCTCAATGTCTTGCAGAAGTTTGTATGTACACATATACAGTGAGGGAAAAAAGTATTTGATCCCCTGCTGATTTTGTACGTTTGCCCACTGACAAAGAAATGATCAGTCTATAATTTTATTGGTAAGTTTATTTGAACAGTGAGAGACAGAGTACCAACAACAAAATCTAGAAAAATGCATGTCAAAAATGTTATAAATTGATTTGCATTTTAATGAGGGAAATAAGTATTTGACCCCTCTGCAAAACATGACTTAGTACTTGGTGGAAAAACCTTTGTTGGCAATCACAGAGGTCAGACGTTTCTTGTAGTTGGCCACCAGGTTTGCACACATCTCAGGAGGGATTTTGTCCCACTCCTCTTTGCAGATCTTCTCCAAGTCATTAAGGTTTCGAGGCTGACGTTTGGCAACTCGAACCTTCAGCTACCTCCACAGATTTTCTATGGGATTAAGGTCTGGAGACTGGCTAGGCCACTCCAGGACCTTAATGTGCTTCTTCTTGAGCCATTCCTTTGTTGCCTTGGCCGTGTGTTTTGGGTCATTGTCATGCTGGAATACCCATCCACGACCCATTTTCAATGACCTGGCTGAGGGAAGGAGGTTCGCACCCAAGATTTGACGGTACATGGCCCCGTCCATCGTCCCTTTGATGCAGTGAAGTTGTCCTGTCCCCTTAGCAGAAAAACACCCCCAAAGCGTAATGTTTCCACCTCCATGTTTGACGGTGGGGATGGTGTTCTTGGGGTCATAGGCAGCATTCCTCCTCCTCCAAACACGGCGAGTTGAGTTGATGCCAAAGAGCTCAATTTTGGTATCATCTGACCACAACACTTTCACCCAGTTGTCCTCTGAATCATTCAGATGCTCATTGGCAAACTTCAGACGGGCATGTATATGTGCTTTCTTGAGCAGGGGGACCTTGCGGGCCCTGCAGGATTTCAGTCCTTCATGGCGTAATGTGTTACCAATTGTTTTCTTGGTGACTATGGTCCCAGCTGCCTTGAGATCATTGACAAGATCCTCCCGTGTAGTTCTGGGCTGATTCCTCACCGTTCTCATGATCATTGCAACTCCACGAGGTGAGATTTTGCATGGAGCCCCAGGCCGAGGGAGATTAACAGTTCTTTTGTGTTTCTTCCATTTGCGAATAATCGCACCAACTGTTGTCACCTTCTCACCAAGCTGCTTGGTAACGGTCTTGTAGCCCATTTCAGCCTTGTGTAGGTCTATAATCATGTCCCTGACATCCTTGGAGAGCTCTTTGGTCTTGGCCATGGTAGAGAGTTTGGAATCTGATTGATTGATTGCTTCTGTGGACAGGTGCCTTTTATACAGGTAACAAGCTGAGATTAGGAGCACTCCCTTTAAGAGTGTGCTCCTAATCTCAGGTCGTTACCTGTATAAAAGATACCTGGGAGCCAAAAATCTTTCCGATTTAGAGGGGGTCAAATGCTTATTTCCCTCATTAATATGGGAATAAATTTTGTTGTTATTCTGTCTCTCACTGTTCAAATAAACCTACCATTTTTAAATTATAGACTGATCATTTCTTTGTCAGTGGGCAAACGTACAAAATCAGCAGGGGATCAAATACTTTTTTCCCTCACTGTATATGTTGAACTTCTTTTGCATGGTACGTAGCCAACTGCTTATCGGAGGTACGGGGGAAGAACAAAAAACTAAACACAAAAAATCAGCTGTAAAGAAATGAGTTTTCAATCTAAAACTAGTTGTCAATCTTTTATCTCTTCCTTCCATCAAATTCATCAACCATTATCAATACACTGCTAAATGAAGGCCTTCCTAAGCCACTGCTCACAGTCCTGCAGTTCAACAATCCACGCAGCAACCCGCACATGATCTGTTGACGTCTTCTGGGACACATTTTACTCCTTGACTGCCGTTCCGTTCTTACTCTTGACCATCGCCAATCATCTTTTAGAGCCATGCTGTACTCTGCCCAAGGCCACTCACATTTGCTTAAATGCTTGGATGTTATATTCTTAGTTTTATCGGTAAAGTCACGTTGAAGAGAAACAACAAAATAACAAAATATATATAAAACAATAAAAAATTCTCACGACGTTTCGACCATGCTTGGATGTTGTCATGATTCTGCATGTGTGTTCTCTCATCCACGTCTTCCACTTTCGGTCTCTCAGTGTAATTTCCAAGCACGTGTGTCTCCACACTTTTATTCAAAGTTTTCAGTTTTTGTTCCATATTTTTTGTATCGACCACGGTGTTTTAGACAAGTAAATTAAACCAGGCGGCATGACCTTGAGAATAACAAAGTCGAATTTTGAGTGGTATGGTATTGCTGGTGGTATGCACAGATTGAACACTTTCTTTTTGACACATTAGTCTTATTAAATCCAGATATAATTGTTGAAAGATTACGATTTTACAGCACCTAACAATCGCAGTAACGACGGTCCGCCCACGTCGCTCCTCCAGATCCGAAGCACGGGCCACAGGGCGTGCGCGTCGTGGACCTGCGTTCGCGGGAGCTGACGCTGCAGTGGGAGCCCCTGGGCTACAACGTAACGCGCTGCCAGAGCTTCAACATCACCGTGTGCTACCGCAGCTGGGCGGGCGCCGCCCCGCCGCAGCAGCAACCGCCGCAACAACCGCTGGCGGCCAACGGCGCCTCCGTCGGCGCCGGCGCTACCGCCGGCACGGCCAACGAGAGCAGCTTGCCGGAGGTGTGCCGCGATGCCGGCAAGGCGGTGAGCGGCTTCGTGCTGTCGGGACTCCCGCCGCACCACAACCTGAGTCTGCAGGCCGTGTTGTACACGCCCGAGGGCCGCAAGGCAGGCGAGCGGATCTACACGCAGACCGACGAGGACGGTGAGTGGACAACGCGCGTACCTTGTGAAACAACACTCGCAATAACGACGACAACGACGATGACGACGGCGATGAGAATGGGATGGGAATAGTGGCGTGGAACTCGAGAGGCAGCCTGAGGCACGCCACAGGCCCTGAACCTTTTCTCATGAACGCCAACTTTTAACCCTGAACCATAAACACAAATCTCTAAGCGCTGAAAAATAACTATACAGCTCAGTGGGCCTTACCTGGGAATAAAAATATTTTTCAATATTGTAATAGTTTTAAAACCCTAATCCTCAACCTCTAAATCCTAATACCTAAACCCAACTCCTAACCTTATCCCTAAACACCAAACAAAACCCAAATCCTAAACCTTAATCATATCATCCTATTAAGTAATGCCCCTTAATATTTGATCAACTGAAACCAAAAGAAGCATTGTCATTGTATGAGGTAGATTTAATAAAAAAATAAATGGGTACAGTAATAACTAACAACAATGCCCTTTATTTATCCAGGACACCCTCACAGAGTCTCAAGACCTTTGTCAGGAGGGTTCTACATTGGAATGTTAGGCCAGTTCCATTGATAGGTTTTTGGCATTTGTGAGGAATTCAGTGGCCGATTAATGCATAAGAGGTGACAGCTCTTAAGGTGGCGTACAAATAGATAAAATAACGTATTGTTTTACTACCATAATCTAGCCACCTCATAGCCCAAGCGTACGATAAGAAGTGACCAGGCTGAACCCTGTTGGGCTGCTGAGACCGGCTAGCTCGGGTGCCCTCGGGGTTATTCAAGAGTCTTCGCACTCGATGTCGGCGTTCAGGCGAGAGGTCGAGAGGTCGACGGGTCGAGGGGTTGGGTGGTCAGGCGGTCATCCTCCTTTGACGTGTTTATCCCAGAGACTCAAAAGAGGACTGCCAAATAGATGTTAATGAACTTATCCGAATTGCTTGGACATGGCTCATTACCCAGTTTAGTAAAAGGGCATCTGCAGTCTACGGCAGGAGTCCACAGGAAATGCGTTTTACAGAATGAAAAAAAGGTTGAAATGGAGCTGTGGATTATGCCGCACAACTTTAAGAGATGCATTGCTCTGTCGGCTGAATCGCCATGGCACTGAATTTGGAAGGGTCAAATGAAGCGTTTTTCCAAATGCGCTTTGGTATTTTACAATTTTTCGCTGTGTGGAATTATGAGGTTGCCCAACGTGCGACTTTGCGGGGAGATTTTGGGTAATCCGCATTAAATGTGGTTGGGCCCCCTCGCCCTCCCCCTCCTCCCCCCAACACCCCCACGCATGACAGGACGATCGTCGCGGCCGTGACCGCGTCCCGCGTTTCCATGGAGAAATTGTACTTGGGAATGGGGCTGCTGCTGTAACATGCAAGAGAAATTTATAACCGCAGATGGCGAGAGCGATTGCTAAAAGACACGGCACGTGGAAGCGAGATCCAGAGCGACAGGGAAGCTGACACGGCAGCGCTAATTTCGGCGAAGGAGAAATTAACCACAATACAGCTGGGAAATAACGTGGGGGCAAAACGTGCGGACTGACGGACCGTGGCGTCCCATCACGGGAGCCGCGTTGTCGCCGTGCGCTATCCCCCGAGCAGTGTGAATGCACCACGGTTGGCAGGTGGAGTGTGGTGGGATTCAATGTGGGGACTCCCACCTCTGTGAAGACAAGCTGTGAGGAGACCAAATGCCCACTCGAGGGGTTCTGTAGTGCCCCACCGGGTGGGAATCCTTCTGCGAGCATAGACACGAACACGCAATTGTAGGGCTGCACTTATGTGTTTTATATTTATTTATTTGTTTGCACCTCGCCCCCCTTACCCCTCCCCTTCCCCTCCTCCCAACTGCCGCTGCCTCCACCGCCCCAGTGCCGGGCCCTATATCTGCGGTGGCCATCAGTGGCGTGGCCACGGAGGAGAGCATTTCGCTGCAGTGGCGAGAGCCGGAGGAGCCAAACGGGGCCATCACGCAGTACGAGGTGCGGCATAGACGTCCGCGGCACCTGGCCGACACGTTGCATCATCGTCATTGCCCTTGTCGTCACTATCAGCATCATTACCGTAAATGGCTCTCCGTCTGTGTAGTCTCCTTTCTCAAAGATGTCGGCAATCGTGGCCTTCCTTCCATTTAGCTCTGTCTATGATATTTACACAACAACTTTGCATAGGATTATCCTCCCAGATGCATCCAATCATCACACTGCTGCTGCTCTTAACTGGCTGTCTTCCTCGGCTTCTTGTCCACCATTGTCCAGTGGTAGAGTGAGCGGTTCGCAATGGGAAGGTTCTGAGTTCAATTTCTGGATGGGAGCTAAACTATGTACTGCCACATATAACACTACACTATTTAGGCATTCTAGTCGAGGGTTGGAGTCAAAGGGCTGAGTTCACCTCTGGGTCGAGGTGAGTGAGGTTTGGGCTTGAAGACGTCAACCTGTGCCGATCGGGGATCTGGGTTTGGATTGAGGGTCAGTGGTTGAGCAACGGTTCAGCCGATCGCCGCTTAAGACGCAGCAGGAGTTCAAGGCAAGATTTTCGGAATTCCTGACCCCCCCTCCCCCTCCGGCGAGGGCAAATATGAAGCTGCTTTATTCGTACCCCGCAGTTTTATTTCGTACGCATTTTTAGCGATACTAACCTCGTGGGCAGTGGAATAACGGCGCACTTCCCGGACGAACATTAATTGCCGTTTTATTGCACGGCCACGGTAATGAAAATTGCAGAAACGAAATGGAAATGTGGAGTGCGGTTGAGTGTGTTGCACTAACACGGTCATGATTATTAATGACGGTAATAACAGCTGCTCTTGTTTATTCATTCGTTGTGGATGTTCTGCTTTAATAATTGAGCATGACGAAGCTGCGGAGTAATCGGAGAGCTGCTGGGCTCGTGGTTTACAATGACTCTGAGGGAAGGCCGGGGAGTGACGGTGGGGGAGGGGTGTCGGGGGACAGGGGGAGCGTGGATGTGGACTGGAGAGACGCGGCTCACCAACGGTGCGAGTCTATCGTTTGAGATCCCGCGCTATGTGCGGAATCGTTTTAGGCAAAAGCATTTCCTTTTTTCAGTTGCTGCTGGAATTGATTGCTGTAGAACTGATTCAGTCTGGCGCAATCTAGAATCAAATTAACGTTCACCAGGGGTCCGGCTGTGAAGTCGCTCGGATGACCGGATTGGCACTCCACCGGTTTACGCAGGCATCAGGGTTTCATTCCTGCAATCGCTCAGTAATTTTTTGCGCAGCGGTGTTATGCAAGCTTGCCGTCTGCTGCAAAGTGGTCGTTAAAATCCCTCTGCCATTGTTCTGACATCACTCAGCCCAGTGGGTTAGTGCTGGTGTCACGATCCTCATGCGTAGATTACTCGGCTACGTATTGGAGAGGCGTCCGCCCTAGAGAGGTTGAATTATAAAAAATAACACATTGAATTGAAATTGTTCCTTATTTTGTGAATGTCACAAATTAATGTTTTCATGTGTTCATGAGCCTGTTGGTTTAATCTACATGGAATCTATTTGTCTCTATAATCGTTCCTACGTCTCTTACCAGGATATGCGAGTATAAAACCGATAAGTGAAACGATCCAAGGAGAAACTTAAAACTCGCTGCCAGCGACGAGCGCGATGTGACGGCACGAGTGAGCAAACTTTTGAATGGTGGCCCCGGCAACAGAGTCAACAGTTACATTACTGAATTCATAATGAGTACATCCAAGCCTCCATGTACAATGCGCAGTTAGGCGGCTGCGGAGCTCGAACCACGAACCTCTGCAACAAGCGACGAAGGCGCGAGCTCTCGGCCGTGCCTCACCATCGGCCCTCATGAGTAGCGGTTGCAGCGAGTGCCATCGCCGGCCGCTGACAGACCGGGACGCGGGGATCACACCGCTAAGTGGGTGGGCGAACACGAGGGGCCAAAATGACGTTTCTTTGTTGGAGCACCCACCCCAGCGCCTCCCTAGCCCCAATCGTGTTGCAGAACATTCTGCGACTGTGCGATTGTTACGGATGCTGTTGTGATAGCCCCAGGTCTGCGCTTTGTGCCTGCCCAATGCGCTGCAGCCCACGTTTCGTAATAATTCCTCTTTTTTGTAAAGCTCCATTAAATGTTTATTTATTTATTTGTATATTGTTGTGTGTCCGTCCCCTTTCAAACGTGGCCACGTCTAGAAAATTGATTTCGTTTCCACGGAAAAAGCTATCATGGAGCAGAGCATGTTTTGATGGGTCTTTAAAAGCAGCATGCCGTGCGATACACCGACTGTAATAACCACAGCCATTGTGTTAAAGAGGAATCGTGCGGTACACCGACTGTAATAACCGCAGCCATTGTGTTAAAGAGGAATCGTCCGCTACTGCCGTGTGGAGAGGTCGAGGTTAAATAAAATAAAAAAAATCTAATTTCCCCGATTTCTCTTTGTGCCATAAAATATGTTCTGAAAGAGAAAATTAGTTTTATATTTGCAGTATTTAATTCCACTCTGGAGTGAGAAACGGCTTTTACATTATTAGAGAAATAGGTTTTGGTGAGATTACTGTTCATGTGACCACAAATAAAATGCACACAACACCGTACGCACGCGTGCGTTACCCGCACAGGCAGCACGCCGCGCCGCTCCGTTGCGGTGCGACCGATCGCGGCACAGCCGGTCACGGAGCACCGCCCTGTGCACCGAGATGGCAGCGTCCGGCCTCAGGCGGTTATAGGCACGAATACCGCACTGTTAGCGGGCAGCTATGAAGGCCATTCTGGCAGACCAGGCGGTGGTGTGGGCAAAAACCACGCCCGACCGCCTTTGTCTCCTCAGTGCCAATGTTTACATGCAACACCAGGAACGCGTTTAAGGTTGAATCAACCTAGCAGAGGCCCAGGACCTGTTCACTGATGTTCCGAGTACCCATATGTTGTGAGTGATGAGAGGGCAACGGACAGATAGTGTTGCCACACGGACCTCATCAAAAAGTAACTTTAAGACCTAAGGTGGTCCACAATGCCATAGTTTAGCCAGTGTATGAAATATTGTCGTCTGATACAGGATCCGTAACACAACACATTTGGAATCACCTCAAAATCTGCATCCTGTCCTCATCCCAAATAGTCGCTGGATTTGTCGCTTTGCCAAAAAGTTTTCGCTGAAACATCCAACACTGAAAACCTCTGAGTTGGTAACGCTGGGAGAGTTTGACTCGCACTTGGTGTGTCACTGCGCAGGTGTCGTACAGCGCCTTGCACTCACGCGACCCAGACTACGTGCTGGAGAGCGGGAGCGAGGTCGTGCTCAAGCCGTGGAGTGAGACGCGCCACCTCTTCGGCGGCCTGCGCCCTGGCACCACCTACTCCTTCTCGCTGCGTGCCAGCACCACCAAGGGCTTCGGCCTCGAGACCATGGTGCTGTTTACCACCAAGATCTCCGGTGAGCGCGCGTGCCGGCGTTTGGTCTTCGCCCCACAGATGAACGTTCACCTGCCAACGCTCGGCATTCGACTGTTCATTGATCCATTGTTTGGGATGCGTCCCATGGTGTAGTAGTTAGCATACTGGACTTGCAATCCAGAAGTTGCCGATTCAATTCCGTTGCCCACAACAGCAATTGGAATCGTGGTGCAAGGTTCCCACATTCCCCCAAGGCTGTCTACCCAGCAGTATAAATACACCTTATGGTGGGACCCTGGGGTCCCGAATAAACGGAAGTCAAAATCGTAATTAATCAATTTATTTTTGGCGACTCCGTCCCACCGGGCACATAAACGCCACAACCCACCAGAAATCAATCCTCTCGTTCGTCACCAAGCACCCGTCGTTGCCGTAGTCATAAACAAAACTTTGATTAGCGCATCGTGTAGAGCTCGTCGAGAGGAATAGGTTGCCGTATCGTTCGCCTCCAACAGATATAAAATTACGTCGCAACGCAGTTTATGCGAGAGCCGGGGACTTATGGGACCCCAGGGTCCTGCCATAAGGTTCAAATGACACCATGCATAACTCAGCAGCTAAATCCTTCACCACCGAGCAGTACACTATTCACCATTAATAATTTCCTCGCTCACCGTGAGCCCCCAGTGTTGTCTGCCCCTCGTGAAAACACAACAACCGCCATTCGCCACTAAGTGGAGGTGACGTCACCACGACGCTTGTGCCAGGCCACCTTGAGGCCACTTGAAGTGTCGAACGCCCTCTGGCAGGAGGTCACGGGGTAAACCCAGATGCCCCGGGTCGACTGACTGAGATGACCGAGATGACTGGCTGATGCACCACCTGTGCCCCCTATTGTGCCAACTTGCTTTGCTTTAGCCACCCGGCGCTCCGCTCGTTGTTGTGAGCATCGCTCCTCCACCCTCTGTTGTTGTTGGAGGGCGACTGCCTCCAACTGCCGAGTAGCGTCCTTCACGAGCCTCCTCCACTGAGGCCGATCTTGACACCGCTGGTACCAGTCATCGGCAAGTCCACTCAGCTCCACATCCTCCCGTACCACGTCACTCCATCTCTTCTCTAGCCCGTGCCGCGCCCGTTTAGCCCCCTCGATCTGGCCGAACAAAAGCTGTTTGGGCATGCTGTGATTGAAAACACACACACACACACGTGTTCTGTGTCTATACACTCGCCATCATTTCAGAACCACACGCAAGCTATTTAAACGCGCTGATCTATTCACTCCGCACTGCTCGCTGCAGACACCTCTACAGGGGCCGTTAGTGAAGGTGATCGAAATTGCTCATTGCTGCCATCCCCAAATGAAACGCTCGCTTTCTGTCGCTTCTCGTTGACGGGGCCTCAGGTTTGTGGGCAGCGTTGTGAACTTTATGAAAATCTGACATCAAGATGTCTCAGCACGGCTCGCGCATGCGTGCCCAAAACGCTCGAGCCGAGCGGCAGCCTCCCCGACAGCGGTGGGAATTACTGCGTGATGAGCAGTGCACTCGCAGGGCACTGCTTCGTGTTTCATCATGCGATCGTCGCCCAGAACTCGGCGGAACGGCGTGTCAGTTGGCTAAACATGCTAAGTGGCACTCTTTAATATAAAAAAACAGTAATTTTTGTTCTTGAATTCAGAAAAGTGCCTGTAATTTTTTTTAAGTAAACAAAACACCCTAAAAAGCACCGGTGGAGAGTTAGATTTTTTTCCTGAATGCACTGGACACGTCTCGCATTGCACATGGTGATGAACACATGACAACCGTTTCCACAATGGACCGTGAGAGATTGTGGTGATGATAATCATGTAGATTCATGTTCAGTTCCGAAGATAAATGTTTGGTTGGAGCAAAATATAACTTGACGCTCGACCAGGAAAACCTTGGGTTGGCAGGCCTCTCCAGCGCTACCTAACCCTTGACCCTGTACCCCACGCCCCTCCGCCCCCTTGCCCGCACACCCCTAGCCCCACGACTACCGCAGTACGAGAGCGATCCGCTGCTGGAGTACTCCGACACGACGGCCACCGTGATGCTCAAGCCTGCACAAGGCCGGGGGGCACCCATCAGGTGCATTCCCAGCATGCACTTCACCTGCCTAGGATCCCATGGCAAGCTACTGTGGAGTTGTTTGTGGTGTGGTACGGGGGGGCCCATTGTGTGTTTAGTGGTTGAGCTCGATTCAGTTGTTGAAGAAGCTCGCGGTGCGTGGAGTGAAACTTTGCACGTTGTGCCCAACAACACGTGGTACGACCTGTAAACAAATTCTAGAGCGATGCAGCGCAACTGTGAAAGCTTTCACAGTGGCATGTAAAGTGTTAATTTATAAAAAAAAATATTAAACTAAACACATTCGGACCGGGTGGCTCAGTGGCAGAGCGAGCAGCTCCCAATCGGAAGTTTGAGTTCACATCCTGAATAGGGGTTGACTTGTCATCCCTCGCCACCACCAGAGGAACATCGAATTTCCACTGCTGGTACAGGGCTGTGCACAGGAGATGAGCGCCAACACATCGATGCTGATTTGAGCAGGAGATAATTTTTCCTGTCTTTCTAATGAAAACAGCTTACCAGCTTCCCGCACCATCCTCTACCCCTCCGGCTTCCCTCGTCTCTCCCGCTGAACCACCGTGCTCCCCACTGCCCCCCACAGCGTGTACCAGCTGGTGGTGCGTGAGGAGCCCCCCAAAAAGTCTCGACGAGCACCCGAGCACCCGGACTGCTTCCTGGAGCCCGTGTCGTTCCGCCAGGCGCGGGCGCGCCGCACCCCCTACTACGTGTCGGCAGAGCTGCTGCCCGAGAACCTGGCGGGCGGTCGGCGCTTCACCATTGGCGACAACCACACCTACCGTGGCTACTGGAACGCGCCCCTCGCCTCCTCGAAGGTCTACGCCATCTACTACCAGGCTCTGGCGCTGGGTGACGAGGTGAGCGAGCAGAGGGAGGACGGCCGGAGTTCGCCATGCGTCTGCGTTTGCCTGCGCGCGTTTGTGTGCGGGCAGCGGGGGCATCGGTGGTGCAGCGGTTGGTGCAGTGCTACATATGTATGTTGAACTTCTTTTGCACCGTACGTAGCCAACCGTGCTAATCGGAGGTGCAGTGGAAGGACAACTAACTAAACGCAAGAAGGAGTTCTAAACAAATTAGTTTTCAACCTGGTGACCTAAGTTTGATTCCTGTTTGTGGCCAATACCAGTGACGATTATCTGAACTAGTCCTGGGCCACTCCTAGGTCGACTGAGGCTCAAATGAGTACCTGGAAAAATCTGTAAACATTGCCACTCGAGGGACATGTGTGTTGTGCCGGCCTTCGTAGGTGCTACTTTCGAACATCACCCCAACAGAGAAGTGGGTGTTGTTCAAAGCGTGGCGTGCAGTGATTCACGCCTTCAGTTCGTACAATGTGTTGTTCATGGTTTCCACCTCTACTGCTTTTAGGAATATCTCACAATACCTTGTAGTACTGTGAGATATTCTTGTTCCCCATGATATGTCCCAGTTTTGTGTATCTCAGGGGTGGCCAACGCACTTTGTCGGAGAGCGCGAACCGACAGGTTTTTCCATGCCCTTACCCGTCCCTCTCCCACCCCGACCTTGCTCGATGTTTTCAGGCAGCGTTAATCTCAGGTTTTAAAATACCTTTTAAACAAATTAATTATTAATCCTGGTGGGGGAAAGCATCCATTTCACGAAATTAAAAATGTAAACACCACAAGGACATCCGACCTGCAGTGTTGTTTATAAAAAAAAAATCAACCTCTAGCAGATGGAATAAAAATGCTTCTATATATGAATGAGGCCTCCTAGGAAAGGCTGCTTGCTGTCTTCAGAGCCGTCCCTAGGGTATGGCGAATCGGGGCGACCACCCAGGGCCCCCCGGCGCTTTAGGGGGTCCCGCGTTTCGACGTCACAGTTTCAGATGTAATTCTTCCGGTTTAGTTTGAAGGCGTCGGGGGGCCCACAGTGAGAATTGCCCCCCCCCCCCCGCCTCCACCCCCTATGGACGGCCCTGGTTGTCTTGGCTCAGGCTCACACCCAAGAGACCTCTGTGTCGCTCACTCATCGCTCTCGTCGTTGAAGTCAGAGCAGCCACTTCATAATGACCTGACGAGCGTAATTCGCGAGATGGGAATATCGGCGGTTCCATCAGGTTCCGTTGTGAGCGAAATAAAACAACTAAGATGAGATTATTTTTTTTCCCCGACTGAAATTACATTGGCCCCTCTCGCATTATCCTCACGCCATTTCACAAAGTGACGACTTGAATGCCTATTACGAAAATGATGGCTGCCCCAAAGCTTGTATCGGTGCTGAAACCGTCTCTCTCCCTCACTGCTATTCATAATAATAATAAAAAGTGCATTTTGTAGCCGTTGGCTTTTTTCATTTCTGTAAAAAAAATTCTTTGAGGGTTTGTGTTTATTGAAAATGTATTTATAGCTTAGAAAGTGAATAACGATAATAATGTGAAACTTTCTGCGTGTGTGTGCGCGTGTGTGCAGGAGTTGAAAATATCTTGTCTCATGCTGGCAAAGAGAGGTATGGGATACCGGTGTTTGAATATTCTATTATGTGTGATCACAGTCAATTTTCTACACATTTTCTCAAGGCTGTTTCCCGCTGCAGTTCTTGCGATGAAACCGAGATGTGGCCAGAGGCTTTCTCTCACTCTTTTGTTTATCATCACTTTCTTGGAAAATGCTGCATTGCGATTGTGATTGGTGTTCATCCGGTGGACTGTCCATCTGCAAATTGTATGCAGTAAAGAAATGGCTTAGAATCTACCGCTAGATAAGCCATGTAAAGATACAATCGCTTCACAAATATTTGAGGATGCAATGGGCGAGCGAACTCTTGAAACTAGGTTTGTTTTCTACCTGATGACGATTGCTTGTGATGCAATCGAAACGCCTTATTCTATTATTTAATTTATTTCCTTTCTACGTGACTTTACCGAAAGAACCAGAGTCACAAAAGTAGAGGCCGACCAAAATTCGGTTTCGGTTTCAGCGCCGAAAGTTGGCAAATGGCCACTTTCGGCATTGTTTCGGTTTCGGCCGAAAGTCAATTTGTAACTTTTGGTCGTCAACCGAAGATATATGTTTAGAATATAACGCTAGTGTTAAGTCTATCAGACGGTCAGTCGGCGCTAGGCAATCCTGTGCGATAGGCTGCATACACACACACGTACACACAGCAGCAGCTGCGAGCGAGGTTACAGCCACAACCATGGTCTGGGGCCGGCAATAAATGACGTCACGCACCTAGGGGGGCGGGGCAGCGACTGCGGAGCGATTCGCGCGCTGCGCTACGAACCCGGCGGCCCCAGATCGATTCCCGCTCACGGCCGGTGACGATTATTTGAACCGGTCCTGGGCCTCCCCTAGGTCTACTCAGCCTCAAACGGGTAAGTGGTGTGGTATGTCAATATTTCCACTGGGGAGACAAAGGCGGGCGGCCGGCCGTGGTGAATCTAAGTCCCGGGCGAAGCCGGGTAGTAAAGCTAGTACAGTATTTCATAAATCTTGTGTTCGGTAACTTCGGTTATATACCTTTCTGTTTCGGTCTTGATCGAAGTGTAGTTAAAGTTTCGGTTTCGGCTGAAAGTAAATTTTTAACTTTCGGTTTCTGGTTTCGGTTTTGGCCGAAATCAGAAATCCAGTTTCGGTCGGCCTCTACATGAAAGCTTCAAATCAAGTTTGAACTCTTGAAAATTCACAATTGCTTTGCCCACGATCAAAGCACCATTAATGCTTCCCAACCTGTTGGATCTCAAAAGCAAAGCGCAGTTGAACCCAGTTAACACTTGGATGGGTGACCACCGGGGCTTGCCAGGTGTTGTAGGTGTTCGGTTTTGAGGTGGCCAGCAGAACGCAGTGGTAAGTGTTAGCCCCACGAATGCGTGAGAAACTGGGTTTCTTTGCTCTCATGAGTGAAATCAGCCAAACATTCCAAAGAGAGACACGGCTGATAAAAGTCCCGAGACTCGGCACTTGAACAGACAGATGAGAATGTCGGGAATTTCTCTGACATTGAATGGGAATGAAAAAGCTAAAACCTTTTGCAATGGATTACTAATGTTCTGGAGAATCTTAACGGAGGAGATATTTAGACATTTTGGGTTCTCATTAAGAAGAGAGGGAAGATACAATGTGAAGGACAAGAGACTCATGGGCACACAGAGACAAATAGACTTGCACAGAAACTCATACTCACACATAGACATACAAACATTCCCAGAGACCCACAGACTGACACAGAGACCCATAGAGTCTAAGGGCTAATAAGATACCACTGGAACAGGGTAGAAGGAGCAGGGTGAGATGGGAGGATGTGGTGTTCTGAGATACAAGGACAGTGAATGTGGCGAGAGCAAAGTTACAGAGGAGAAGCTATGGAGAGAATAATCATTGAGCATCTAACCTCACGCAGCAATGGAACACTTGGCTTTGAAAAACAAAGTCCCAGTGAGGCTTTCCTGTACAAACGATTGGTATTATTTTAAATGCGCTGCATGTGCATTTATTGTCTTCTCTACATGCACCCTGTGATATCCTGACAGGCAATGGCATATACAAATATGGCCGAACACATGCTACGTGCATGAAGCCATAGAGTTGCATTTCATTTTAGACATCTATATCAATATCACAGCCACCATTAAAACTTTATTAAGGTGGGTTTAAACCACTTAAATATTTCATGTGGATAAGTCGGACACAGTGGCACGGTGCCAGTGTGGGTGATGTATCAGCCTGGTCATGACATGATGTTTTAAAGAGCCACTTTAAGCACGCGTGAATGTTTCGAGAGTACGACTAGTCTGTGCGCATCTTGTACAACAGTAATTTATCTTTGCTGTACAAATGGATGTTAATTAGCAGAGACGGCGCGCCCGGGTTGGGATCAAGCCGTCCATATGCTGGCGACTCAGACAGTCAAATTATTTGCTCAAGGATATTGGATCATTTTGCTAAATCTCCCTCCTGCTTGACCCATTTATTATTAATTTCATCAATCTCTCATGGGGTTTTTTTTTCATTCATATCAAAATGATTTAATCTGTCAAAGTCCAAGCGATGGTATGTCCAAAGATGGGTTTTAAAATGGATAGGCTTAGCAGCATTACCAGACAATTAAATGGTCATTAGTGAGTACGGCACAGCGTTATGACTTTGCGGGTTTATTCCCGATGCGTTTTTTTATAAAGCCATCATTTTTTTCACCCTCCCTGTTCTCGTTCTGCGTGCACTTTTAATTAATCTGCACAAGGTTTAATGAGCAGCATAATCTGCCGTGGGGATCGCGTGGCGCTAAGTCACGTGGCGCTCGTCAGACAGAAACCCACGCAGGGCCCGGTCCCCACTCCCTCCCCGGGACTCGGCTACACAGCTCGCCACTCGAGGAGCCACAAAAATAACGCCCACCGCGGCTCCTGGGGAGTTCCTCAGCCCAACGACGCAAGGTGGTCGGCCTGCGCTTAAAGAGGTCGCAGCTTAATTTAACCATATTGGGGTAAATTGTACTTCGTATTTTTTTATGGTTTCCAAGTTTTTTAGTGGTTATCAAAAGTCGGGTACGGCGCCTACCCTATTCATGCAAATTCTAAGCGATATTTGAAGTGCGCCAACTCGCGAGAGCCACGTTGAGCGCGAGGCTAAATGACGCTGCGAGCTCTTGCGACGCGATGCCGGCGCAACGCTGCAAGCGGCGATGAAATGGTATCCACAGGGAATGGGGGGGGGGCGGAAGGCACGCGGGCACGCAGCCCCTGAACCAGCAGAGCACGTCACGGGCCTCTGACCACCTTTCTTGGCCTCTCTCCTAATGCCTCGAAGGTTCTCGTAAGGATGCCACTGGGCTAGCGTGAACGCGAGAGGTCCTATACATAGCCACAGCCCTTTCTCCTTTTACATTTCGGCCAGCAATGAAAACCAAATGTGCTTCGCGGCCACCCACTTCCCGTACGTCCATGTGAACAATAGGTCATTAGGTCCTTATTTTCCATATTTCCATATCAGTTTTAATGCATTCCACATTATAAACCGTGTTGATTAGGGGACTCATTATTCTTTTAGTGAGCACCACTACACCTTCCGTCCCGTTGTCCAATTTGAAATAAATTATTTCAACACATTTCCTAATAAATCCAGCTGGAACGTTTATTAAAATCGCTGTATATGGCAACGTTTTGCTCCCGTGCATTATTGTAGTTTACTGCCAAGCGATGTCATCATCGTTTGTAATGAGAGCATATAATGCCTTTGACAAGGGGTGACGACCATTTTCAGTTGTAATTTCCCATAAAGTGTTTTATCTGACAGCTGTGGCGCTCAGGAGGTGGTCCGTCTGTGTTTTTCAGAACCAACAAATGGAATGAACACAAAATGACATGGTTTCGACATTGCATTCACGGAAGGCAGAGCAACAAGGTGGCGGTGGCTCTGAACAATAGACCGTGGACAGTATTTATAGCCATGCCATGTGGCTCAGCGGCAGAGCGAGCGGCTCGCAAAAAGAAGGTTCCGAGTAAAAATCCCGGGTGGGGGTTGACTCATCCCAAATTAAATGAGCACCGCTTTGTAGGAAAGTCAACAGAAGTTGTCCTTTGGAGAAACTTACCCCTGCCATAGGAATGTCCACCACTGGCTCCAGGCTGTGTAAACAGGAGATGTAAACGATGCATCAATACTCATTTTAACAGGAAATCACTTTGACTTGAAAGTCTAGGTGACACTGGTTTTACTGTGAATCTGGTTACCTGAGTTCCATTCCCAGCCATAGCTAACATCATTGGCATAGGATATATATTCCAGTTGTGGATCCCACCTCTTCGGCAACTCGCTATGGCAAGCATGGAGAAGTATGCTTAGATATAAACTGACACTGTGTAGAGGCTTCCATGAAGGAGGCAATTGGCCTAGGACCCTATATTGCTATTATAGTTTAACACGTAGGCTTTCGTGACCAATATTATCCATAAGAGGTTTTTGGGGTTAGTTGACGTAAATGTGTCGTTAAACCCCCAACCACCCGACTACAACCAATTAGTAAGGTTTGTTAAGTAGATGGAACATGCCAATTCCTTACGAGTACAGCACACCAGTGTGTTGGAGAGTAAACCCACAACATTTACAATTCGAGTACGACGTTTCACCAGTAATTACAACTAGCATCATCAGGTGACAGCCAGATTTGTGGAGAAATACATCTGTTTCGTTCTTTATTAGTGGGATAAATGTGATGTCGTCACTGTGAGCCAATTAGGCGCAAAGGCCAGGGTGGAGGCGGGAGCTAATGAATGCATATCAATTACAAAGTATATTCATTACTAGTTGGGTTATTCAGTTGGTAATCAACATAAATTATGCATGCACATTTTGCTTGTACATCGTGCTTGTACATCCTGCCGTTTTTTATGTGCACAAAAATCGCAGTAACTGTTGTCTGCTCACAGTTAGTCACCATCGACGTATGGTGACCTGTATTGGAATGCAGTTAAAGTGTGTGACTTGATTCGCTTCCAAACAGTGCTAAGC